TTCTGAAAAGAGAGTAAATTTGGATTGTATATGGTTTGCTGATTGCATAATGTTCTTGCAAGGAAAGGTTGTCGTATAACGTGCGCCGGAGGAGCATTTCCCGTTAGGATTTTAACAATCTAATCACATTTTAGACAAGTTTTCAAAGGGTTTTGAGGTTTAATTATTCACTAATTTTCTGTTGGGCGTACTGTAGCTCTTTCGAAATTTGTGCAATCTCTAGAGAAATCTACTTGTTGCATTTCCAAAACCAGTACATTGTTGCAGTCCAACCCTTTTTTTTTTTTTTTTTTTTTTTTGGGAGTCCAACCCTTTGAGTTTACCAATATAGTTAAGCGGTTTGTTGTTTTGCCTGCTAGAAAAGTCCAATATTGGTTTATGAAAGAGTAAATTGTAGTAATGATCTCTTAATTTTAACTGAATTGGAGTAATGATTCTTTAACTAAAAATTCATTACCATTGATCTCTTAACTCATTAAAACGTGTAACTATGGTCCCTTAACTAAAATTCAATTATCATTGGCCCCTCAACTATAATCCAAGTTAAGAAATAATCCCTCAACTTTAATCCAATTGGAGCAATGGTTCATTAACTTTAACCCAATTGTAGCAATGATCATTCCAACATAACTTATTTTGATAAAATTTTGAGGAAGTTGACAAAAATGATCATAGCTACACATTTTGATGAGTTGAAGAATCCCAATTGTAGAAATGATCATTCCAACCTAACTTATTTTGACAATATTTTGACGAAGTTGACGAAAAGGATCATAGCTACACATTTTGATGAGTCAAGAACTAATGATAATGGATTTTTAGTTGAGGAACTTGCTCCAATTTAATTTATCTACAAACCATGAATTAAATAACATTAGCTGTCTCATTTGATGCTCTTTGTCTGTCAGGTGAGGTGAGGTGATTTTGTTATTTGTTTGTATTTGAGACTTGATTAGTCTATTATTATGCTTGACATCGAACGAGAAAATCGAGCTATTGTTACAATAAAATAGCTTGAGACTTGCAGCCAAGTGCTGCATGTTTTGTAAAATCATGTTAAGTTTCTCTTGGCAGCCGGAAATTTATCCGTGTGAACTCATTTCTGCTGCAATTAACATACTTGATAAGATCATTACTAGTTCAAATGTGCCCAACGATGCCTATGTATCAGGAGGTTTTATGTAAAAGGGAATGAACTTACTATTTCTCAACGAATCAATAATTTTTCGCAGCCTAACTTCTGATATCCGGCTTCTTTTTCGTACAGGTATTCAAGGAAGAAAAGGGTGGATGAGAGCGAAATCTTGACCCTAGACAGTATAAGGCACTCTTTGATTCGACAAGAGGATAGCATAATATTTAGCCTTTTGGAGAGGACTCAGTATTGTTATAATGCAGACACATATGACCATGACACCTTCTCGATGGAAGGATTTCGCGGGTCACTGGTTGAGTTTATGGTCAGGGAAACTGAAAAACTCCATGCCCGGGTAATCTAAATGAGATATAAAAGATTAATATAACTACTACAATCGTATTATTTATAAGCAGCAAGCTCTTCCTGAAGAAAGGATCCCCTGTAATGATGTTGGAGATTTTCTTAACTACGTTTCGTTTTTGCAAGCCAGGTGGGGAGATACAAGAGCCCGGATGAACATCCCTTCTTCCCAGCACACTTACCTGAGCCAATGCTTCCTCCTTTGCAGTACCCTCGGGTAAATTCTAATACACAACATGATAATTACCCTTGTGTTTGTAATTTTTTAAGTTCACTCGCATAATTCGGCTTGTTTTACTGTATGTTTTCTTAGTGATTTCTGACCTGCGTTTTCTCTGATAACGAAACTAGGTTTTGCATCCGCATGCCGATTCAATTAATATAAACAATAAGGTTTGGAATATGTACTTTAGAGATCTCCTTCCCAGATTAGTCAAAGCAGGAGACGATGGTAATTGTGGATCAGCTGCTGTTTGTGACACACTGTGTTTGCAGGTAAACCATTAAACCACTATTAACTGAAATTATTACAAACACGCATATAATAGTTTATTAAGTTGTCACATTATACTAGTTTAGGGAGTTAAGTGTCGTATGATAGTTAAGAGGTTTGTTTTATTTGTTTTTCTGTTTCGTCTCTTTTTTTGTCTGGTTGTTTAGTTTGTGACATCCAAACAACAATAACAACAAAGCCTTATCCCATTAAGTGGGGTTGGCTGTATGAATCATAGAATGTCATTTTGCGCCATATCTTCCATAACCTCCAAGTACTCCATGTCTTTTCGTAAAGTCTTTTTGCAAGTCTTCCTAGGGCTTCCTCTACCGCTTTTGTCCAAATATAGAAGGATAAAAGAAGAAATGTCACATTATAAGGTTAAGGCGGTATTAGTGAATTTTCTCCTAGCCTTGTCCATGACATATGGAACCTTTGCCTCCTCGTTGAGTTTGTTGAATTACTAAAGGTAGACAAAACTTAAGAAAGAATGACTACTTGCTGCAGTCTTCCTCTCTGAATTTTCAGTTAATATGCAAGTATTTGCAAAGCTACTTCTACGTTAGATGGGCTTGTGCTTAAGACTTTGCGTTGTTGTGAATTCTACGTTAATCCTTTTAGCGTACCCTTATTTTTTTTTATCTCCTTCCAATGTTGGATGTTTGTCACAGGCGCTATCGAAGAGAATTCACTATGGTAAATTTGTGGCAGAGGCAAAATTCCGTCAATCCCCTGCAGAATACGAGGCTGCCATTAGAGCACAAGTAAGCTTCCTCTTATATATGTTCCCCGATGATCATGGCTTTGCTTGATGGTTCATTATCTCACATATTGAAGTCGTTTTTTTCTTCTTGTGCCGGTGTGTGGTTCTTGCAGGACAGAAATCAACTGATGGCGTTGCTGACGTTTGAAACAGTTGAAGCAGCGATCAAGAGGAGAGTGGAGATGAAGACGAAAACATATGGGCAGGAGGTTAAAATCCACGAAGGGGAAGATAATGCAGCTAACCCTGCATATAAAATCAAGCCACATTTGGTTGCTAGTCTCTATGGGGATTGGATCATGCCTCTCACAAAGCAAGTTCAGGTTGAATACCTCTTGAGAAGATTGGATTAAGTGAAAACAATCACAATTGTCCAATAAACCCATGATTTCATTTTATTTAATTTATTAATACCGATGTGAGTTTTATGGAAAACTTGTTGCAAAACCAAGCGCAACAACGGTTTAGAATTCATACAACTGATCCTACTTAATGGGATAAGACTTTGTTGTTGTGATACAAATGTGAATCGCCTTTAGCATTGTTTACTAGTTGAGTTGTTATTTGGTAGACCTTTTAATCTTTTCATTCATGTCATTCGTTTGCTTTGGATTACTGAATTAGTTTTTGGATGTGCAACTTCGTTAAGGAAAAAAATGGTCACGTAAGGAGAGAGACACATGTGTTACAGTATGAACTCTATAAGTTTTAGCTCGACTACATTCCCCAAACAAGGGTTTGAAAGGATATCTATCATAAATGTGTCCAAAGTTGTCATCTGCCAAATGGCCTGGAAATTACGCGATTTGTGATCCCCACCATGTGCAGAAGAGCCTTTAGCATCCAAAAGGGGAAGAAAACGAAGGAAAATAAAAAACGAAGAATGTGACTTCTAATTCAAGTGATATTTTTGTTACCTTATGATTAAATGAGCACTTAAATTATCACGAAAACATCACTTCACCTTCTAACTTTTCAATTGTATCAATTTCTTTACAAACTTTCACTTTGTGTCATAGCCTTGTCCATTACTTCTTGACTTTTGCTCCATTATATTGATATTATTCTATGTTGACGTGATATTAATAATAAAAAGTGCACTTCAAGCTAACAAGGGGTTATTTTATTTTTTATTTTTGGCGATGGTAGAGGGAAAACGTCTATCTTACGTAGTTTTACTTTTGTTTTGCAATCCTGACTCAAATTGATGACATTTTGATCACAAAAGAGTAATATTTCCATTACGCTAAGACTCATCTCTGACATTGTATTAAGAATATGAATGAAAAATTGTTAGTACATTGAGTATTTTTTAAACAACAATTAACTAGCCAATATATGAAACAGACGTACTGGAATAACGTGAGATACAAAGAAAAAGTCCTAAGAAATTAAATAACAATAGTGAAACTATACTTATGATATTACACTTTATCTTAGCCAAAATAACAATAAAAAGTACACACTCATGATATTACACTTAGATCTTAACCAAAAGACCGAGGAAGATGTACATACTTATTCTTGCAGTCCTAAATTAATTAAGAACGTAATTCTGTAAAGTTTTATAAGATTTTTTAATATCTTTTACATAGTTTTCCGATTATAATTATATTCCTCGGCAATTAAGATTTTCTCTCCCTTATTAGTATACTTATGAAGTGTTTTCACTATTTTTCTGCCGCGCCGTTTTTATAATTCCTCAGTGAAATCGGTCTACAACACTTATGATATTGTTTAACGGATATGTTGATGAGCAAGCCTTAAAATAATAAACTCTGTCTGTGGTGTCGGTAAAAAAACAAAAGAAAAGGGGCAATAAAGAAGGGAAAGTTTGAACTTCTTTTTTTTTTGAAAGAATTTCGATCCTCGCGGGATCCCTTTTCCAGGATATAGGGATCAACGCACGAGGATCGTTGATAAAAAATAGTACGATTATAAATTTTTTATTTATATTTTTCATGCAAAACAAGATTAATTTATTTTTAAAAGTATAAAAAATATTTAATTGTAATCGTATAATTTTTTATCAACAATCCAAGTATGTTGATCTTAAGATTAGGGGATCCCGCGAGGATCCAAATCCTCCTTGAAATAGGAAAGTTTGAAGTTCTGAACCCATGAAAAGCAGTAATCGGCGGCCGGCTCATGTCGAAAGTACAGAAATACCCTTAACGTTGCTTCCCAAATAATTCGTCTTTGTTGATAAGTGTGAGCTGGGGATGTTTGTCTCCATCCGACGGCTTCAGATTTACCGAGAACAAAAAGCACTTTATATACTTATCACTGCTCACTCACCACCACCACAACCACCGCTGTACTCACTAGAGAGAGAGAGAGAGAGAGAGAGAGAGAGCGGAGGAGAGAGAGTGAGAGAATGGAGAAAGCTCTAACAAAAGTGAACAGCTTGAAAGTTGGGAGCTTGTGGATCTCGAAGAAGGCCAAGGAAGAATTCTCCAACATCTCCGACGACCTCTCTGTATGTAACCGTAATCTTTCTGTTTGTTCTCTTACCCTTTTAATTTTTCCTATGATTATTTTCTTGTTTTTGTTTTTGGTTGTTGGTTTTTGGTCGGTATTTGTGTAATGTGCCTTGAATCAAGTTTACCCAGTTCATGATTTTCTGCTAATCTTGCTTTAGTCGGTGGTAAATTGTAATTACCGGTGGATGAGATCTGATCTGTTAGGTTTTTATCCGTAAGAGAGTGAACTGGAAGATGGGTTTTGGGTGTAATCTGAATTGTATTTGCTGATCTGCTTTGATTTTTGGTAAATTGTGTTGTGGAAATAAAAGTTAAGGACTTTAAATTTTTCAAATTGGGAGTTAAGAATCTTAGGTTATGGGTTAATCGATAGACGTTCTCCGACGCTTGTAAAGCGGAGAGCCTTGTTGGCTTGGGGCCGTCCTTTTTAGAATAGAATATTGTCTGCTAAAAAGATATAGAAATCAAGGGAATGAAGTTAGAATATAACTTGTTGACAGCAAACATTCTGCAGAAAAAAATCAGATTTTGTCCAAGTCTTTGTGCTTTCTTAATCAGATTGTTTGTTGTTGCAGACATTCTCGAATACCGTCGAGGAGAAGGCAAAATGGGTTTTCAACAAACTAAAAGGTATGGAACAATCTTTACCATAATATCATTAGTATGACTGAATTGCAGATGGATGCAATATTTGCAGTACATTACTTCAGTCAACAATCTGCCTTAAAAATGGTAATGCTTATTGTTCGAATGACGAGTTTTCTCTCTTGTTTGATTCACCTACAGGAAAGCCGCCGAAAAGCTTGCCAGATCTCCTTCGAGAGTACAACTTGCCACCGGGGCTGTTTCCGCAGAACATAACCTGTTATGAGTTTGACGAAACAAAATCCAAGCTCATTGTGTATTTGCCATCAGCATGTGAAGTTAGCTTCAAGGATTCCTCTGTTATGAGGTACGCGACCCGGGTAAAGGCCATTCTTCTAAGGGGAAAGCTCACAGGGATAGAGGGAATGAAGACAAAGGTTCTGGTATGGGTTAAGGTCACTTGTGTATTGGTTGAAAGTTCCAAGTCCGATAAGGTGTGGTTTACAGCTGGTGTTAAGAAGTCGAGACCAAAGGACGTCTACATAACACCGCGTGACTCCGTGAAAGTTGAAGAATTCTGAGTTTAGAGTAAAATCGGCATTTCTATCGCCATTTGTGGGAAGAAGATCTGAATTCTTGCTAGCTGTTTACTTAATAGGCATTTCTATGACTGCTTCTTTTTTGACAATGTCAAATGCAGTGCACTGTTATGTGGTTACTGAAAATTTCACCATCCTTTTGGCTATTGGATGAATGCAATTGCTTCCGTTTTCTGTTCGATTGGCATTCTGTTTTACGCATATGATACAGTAAACGATGAGACAGCGATGTATTCTGAAATTGCAATTTAATTAGAAGGGAATCACAGATATCTTTTTACAGTGAAGGAATGTACGTAAATAATAACCTTCTCTGTTGACAATTTAATTTCCTATACCTACTTTGGCTGCTGTAACTTTTCTCATCTGCTTCGAGACGGAGAAGTTGCAGTTGAATCACGAACAATCTTGTATAGTGATACGATGTTAAGCTGCAGATGAATCACGAGCAATCTCGTACAGCGATATAATGTTTTCTATGCTCAACAGGAAGATGATGCACCATTCCAGAAGATCTGACTTTCTGTTTTGAAGGACTTCTTGCAAGAAATGAATGTTGTGCTGCGAAAAAGAATGGTTTAGGTTCAAAGAAAATATGAATTCATCCAAAAGGCAATATCTACACCGGCAACATACAATTCTCCATGATTTAAGAACCGAGGTGAATTACTAAGGGACGAACCTACCTCTACAAACTTTAACTTGAAATCCAAGTTTCCGAAGCGTTGTGTAACCTCGTACTCCTCCCGAAGGTACTCATGTATTTGAGCATACTTTGCATCCCTCCAAGCAATTTCTGATCTGATGGATAAAGAACCGAACAAATATTAAAAGCTGCAACGCCAAATTATAAACCAAACTGGTATATTCGAGCACTCGAAGCAATTCCAGATAAACGAAAAATGGCAACTGAAGAAAACCAAATTTAAGGTTACTCTGATCGTCGCTCAGCCAAGTCCATAGCGTATTTTCTGAATTTTACTATAAGTTGGTACCAAGATTTCTAATCCAGAAGGGGGAGAAGTTGAAACCTTAGGGTTTAGGGTTTAAATGCAATATTCAAGGTCAGTGAGAAATCTAGATCATCCAGCATACAGAAGGACCAACTTTAAATGCAAATGATTAGTGATCTTGAAATATCACTACAAACAACCGAAGAAAGCACAACGGCATTACCTCTCAAAAAGACCTACTTTAAGAATTACATCAGCTAAGTTCGAGTTAGCCTTCCCAACAAGTTGAAGGAGCTTCTTTTTATGCATTGTGAAAGTTCCAGTTTTCTCCATTCCACGATTTATATCTGCAAACTCTTCAACCATACCATCAACCTAGAAAGAAAGACCCGTGCAACCCCACGGATGGGAGGGGTTTGAGAAAGATATAGATTATCATAATCTAAGACCCAGGGTTCTCCAAATGCAACAACGTTGGTTTACAAAAGAAGCAACATATATTGATAAACTGAATCTGAAAAAGAATTACCTGCGAAACAAAATAATCTAAGGCAATACTTTGGCCAAGAACACTGCCAATAATGCGAATAGAATCAGTGTCCAAAGTTTTGAGAACTATGTAGTCTGGACCACCCTGCATGTCCTCTTCCAGCTGTGGCTTTTCTTTTACGGCATAATCTAATACAAGCACACAGAGATCCATACAGGGAATTAAATATAATTCAAACCTTTCTATTCCAGAAGAATATATTAGTATCTAGAACATATTAGCATTTGATGATTCAATGCAGTTGAACTCAACTGAAATGAAGTGTAAGATCACATCGAGAAATCAAATGAAATTTGGTTATATTCAAGAAATTTACCGTCTTTTCTCATCTCTGGAAGTAATCCAGAAGCATGTCTTGTAACTAGATTGAGATAACCGTCAACTTCATGATCCTCAACATTAAACAGAACAGCAGATCCATACTGGAATACGACCATGTAACGCCAGACTCCAAATTCCTAAAAGAAAGCAGCGAGATGATGAAAGGACTATCATATTAATTATACTCGATGCTGCTATTAGCTATTAGCCTATTACTGAAAAAGAAAAGCACACTTGTAGCTTTGGAGACGATGTCCTCACTCGAAAAAGTACACTTGTTTCTCTATATAAGCCAGGTATGACCCCGTGTATAAATATGGTTATGATGTCCTCACTTGAAAGTAGTCAGTCGGACATCAATTAGCCAATACATACATAGCCTACCCCAAAAAGTAAATGAACAAAATAGCTTAATCAAGTATGTAAAGTCAAGGATCAGTCTAAAAGTCAGTCTAAATTTTCTTTTAGTATTGTTCACAGACGAAAATGGATGCATTATGCCACCGCAACGGAAATTTAATGCCTACAAATGATTTCTTTATGCATATCATGAGGCAGAATAGTCTCAAAAAGGAAATTTAATCACACAAGAACTTCAACGGAGCAAATTATTAAAATGTTCAATGAATCATCATCTTACAGTATTTTCTGAAGGGAAATCGCAAAATCTGAGGGCAATGTAATTCGATGAGCGAGAAGTAGGAGGAATGACATTGCTTAAATTCTCGGCCTGCATGCTCTTCAAATTGATACTGCGAAAACCATGAATCTGAGAAAGCCAAATTATAAAGAACACAGCCGGAAACAACTGAGAAAGTGAGAGAGACAACGAAAAACGGAAGTGACCCAGTACAAAAACCGCGACAGACCCCGAAACAAAAATCAAATCCCAGATCAAACATAAGAAAACGAAAATCATAGCAGCATTAGAACAGTAGGAAATGGTCAGAATGTTCAAAACAAAACCTTAAAGCAATGTTCTTTAATGAAAGTCATCAGCTTGAAGAGACAATACGAGCTTATATCAAACTAAAAACACAAATGAAGACAGACCCACATAAACATATGACAAAACAATCAAACCCCAGACGAGGATTTGCAAAATTAAGAACTACGACGGCTAACCTGGTACAAAGGAAGAAGGCTTTAACGGGTATTTTTCCGGTTTCCACTCGTCTTCTTAGCTTGGCTCTGACTCTGAGCATAGCAGGATGGCTCAGAGTCGTAATCAGTTGGCTTCAACGGAAACCCGAGACGAGATTGCAGAGAAAGGTCGTGAATTGAGGAAGCGGAAGTGGAAGGAGGTGGAGGCTGAAGGGCGTGGAGATTGAAAGGAGGCTTGGCGGGAACAGAAGATTTAGAAGCTCCGGCGGCGGCTACGCGGCTGAGGAGAAGAGAAACAGCGGCTCTCCACCTCCCCATTCACTGAAGCTTCAAGGTTTTGGGAAGGCAAGTTAATTTCGCTGCCGTCTTTGAAGTGAAAAGCACAAGTTTTGCCGGTTGTGTGCTTCCGCTCCTCCTCCAGCTTTTTCGGAAGTACGACATGTCGTTTTAAATTTGAATAAAACGACGTGTAGTTTACTACTGTTGACTAGCAAGTAACAACCTCCTGAACCCTTGGACGGCTGAGACAGCCAGTCCCTTTGAGCAAACGAAAAGCGCCAGGAGGAAGAATATCTTAGTGAGCAGAGAGACTGAGGAAGAAGAAGAAAAATGGCGCTTTTTGGGGATCTGAGGGTCACGGCGACGCTGACTTCTCACTCGACGCACTCTCTCCGAACCCTTTTGCCCATTTCAAAGGTTTGAATTTATTTGTCTGGGTTAATTCTCATGTATTTTTGTCATATTTTGTCTCTGATTTTATCTGGGTTTCGTGCATTTCTTCCAATTTCTCTTTCTGGGCTGTTTGGTTCCCGGGAAAATGAGAGAAGGTGGCTGAAGATTTGGGTTTTGATTGAGGTCAACTGTGAGACTATTGTTTCTTTTGTCCCTTGTTGGAGAATTTTATGAATTTCTTTGGTGGCTTCCTTATTCTGTTTAGAAATGAAAATTTGAAATATTATATCGAATTTGTTGAACTACCAGTTAATTTACGAGCTTAAGTTAGAAGAATATGGTGCAATTTAGTTATTTTGTGCCCATTTAATTGAGGGTTTTTCCCGTTGGTCTTGTAGCTAAAAGGAAAATGATGAGGACTTTGTTGTAGACTGAGGGTACTTGAGAGTCTTGCTTGCTGTATTTCATCACCAATTCCGCTTGTAACTGTCGATCTGAAGCTAAAGAAGTATGCAAAATTAACAACACTCGGTTATTTTTCACCGGAGAATTGAAAGGGGTTCTCATCGTGATTGTTGACTAGTTGTCAAAGTCATAATGATGACGTCGGTGTCAGATTATATGGAAATACTTTCTTGTTTTGTTCACTTGCTATCATGTTGAATTGGGTTTTGTTGTCTGGGTGACCGAATCTTGTGTTCTTCTTAGTAGTTAAGTGATTTCATCGTAACAGCCTAACAGGGATTGAGGGTATGATAGTTGTCTACTGAACTATGATTTCATATAATGCATCACTGTTTTTCCATCTTTATGATCTTCCATGGTGTTTGTGTGCATTGTATAAGACTTTTCTGAACTTTATATTGAATCGAAATTGAAGTGTTTCTTTTCTCTATGGCCGGTTACCTGCTGTGATCTGTATGGTTGCAGTTGAACTGAGGCATCCCTAACGTTTTTCCTTGTTCATGAAGGGAACTGAATCCTCATTTCATTTTGTTATTGAAAAACCTACCTGAATGGAAGTTGAAATTTTGTTTTGCTCCTAATTGTCAAGTTACATAAGATAGTTTAATAAGATATGCAAATGTCTTCTGCTAAGTCTCTGCTCAGTTTCCAATTTTTGTACTGTGTAATAGGTAGAATTTACTAGCTTTCCAAATGGAGGGCCTTGCATTTCTGAGATTATGCCGAAGTGGCCCAGTATGTCATTTGATAGACGTAATATTCGTCAACATTCCAGGCGGTTGGCTGGAGATTTTCAATTGTCATCGAACTCAAGTTGCCAAGATTCCGAGAGCTTCCTCCTCAATGCCATCAACATGAGTTTCTTTGACCGTTTAAACTTGGCTTGGAAGATACTATTCCCGTCTCCAACATCTAGAAGGAGCTCTAATGCTAACATTGCCAAGCAGCGCTTGAAGATGATCCTATTCTCTGACCGATGCGCAGTTAGTGATGAGGCTAAAAGATTGATTGTCAACAACATTGTGCATGCTCTGTCAGATTTCGTTGAGATAGAATCGCGAGACAAAGTTCAGCTGAGTGTGTCTGCCGATACTGATGTGGGAACCATTTACTCAGTCACAGTACCTGTAAGACGGGTTAAGCCAGAATACCAGATTGGAGACGAGACTGGAACGATAACAAACATCGAGTACAAAGATACTGGTGACAGTTCTGGTTCTGTTGATGTCAAATTTGATTTCTTCATCCCTGACTAAAGCAACTCATTTGGTTTCTTTGGGTTCAAGAAATAGATTGTTGTGTTTTGACTGAAACCAAAGAAGTTTATGTTTTAGATGTTTCGGATTGGACCTGGTTCTTCTGTATATATATGAAAAATTTGTGTAAGCCGATTAGGAGGAATCTTCTTCTGCTGAATTCACGGTTTGGTTTTGTTATGGCTCTAGTTATACTACATATGTGAGTGTATTTGATCGTCCGCTCTAGTTATTTATATTTATCAAGGGCAATGGATTCGAACTTTGGGAGAACAACAATTTTGAAACTAAAAAAAAAAAAAAAAAAAGTTTTTCTATGACAACAGCTGATTGTATTGGAATGGATAAACCACTATTAATATTGAAGCACTATTCTCAATATAGAAGGAAAAATGAAAAAATTGTGGCAAACTTGGAGATCCGAGATGGAATAGCGTCAAGAAATTTTTTTCAGTTTCAATTCCTTGTTAAAGTATTAGAATCATTTTGAATATCATTTTGTTATAAATGATGAGCTCGAGATCAATGTGTTCATTATGCAACTGAGCTCAACCCTCTATTCTCAATATCCCAATCAAAGAGAAAAGAAGAAGAATCCCATTTTGTCAAAATAAAAATAAAATTCAGTGGGATTAAACCAGGATGATACATGACAAAGAAAAATAGAAAAAAATAACAAGCGGGGATTGAACCCGACGTGAATCGAACACGCAACCTTCTGATCTGGAGTCAGACGCGCTACCATTGCGCCACGGATCCACTTGTTGTTGAACTCATTAGTTAAATATATTTACACGTTTACAAATAAGCCTCAATTTAAATTCAACAGATATTTATTGTGCACTGAGCGGGAACTTTTCATCGTCTCCCTCCCTCCCAAATCCTCACTGGCAATTTCTAGGGTTTATGGAACCGAAAGAGGTGTGAATCCCAAAGCTCCATTTCTTATCAATTCTGAAAAAATTAGTGAAATCTCTGTCCAGCTCTGTACGTTGGACCGTTGTGCCAGTTCGGTCTACTAGGACCACAATGAGCGGAGCTCCTTTGAAGTTTGAAAACCCGATCCGAGATGCAATCTCCAGAATCCGATTCGCCCCGAAATCCGACAACCTCCTCATCTCCTCTTGGGACTCTGTGAGTGTTGCTCCACTTTTGTGCTTAGCAATTTGTAGTTTGTGGCACTTTTGGTTTTTCAATCGCAAAAATTGGTTCTTTATTTCTTTTTGCAGAGCTTAAGATTGTACGACGTCGGAAGCTCACAGCTCAGATTAGAGGCTCCGTCGGAAGCGGCGCTCCTCGATTGCTGTTTCCAGGACGAGTCCGTCGCGTTTGCTGCCGGTTCTGATGGCGTCATCAGAAGGTTTGTCACTGGGATTTGTTTCATTTTGCAGTGGGATTCTGTTGAAATTAACCTTGACCACTGTCTTAACACTTTATTTTTTAGCTTAAATTGATGGGTAATCATAAACTTATAAGTTAATGGGGTTTAATTTCTCATATTTTCTTGCAATATTTATGAGGGATTTAATTTTCCTTTCTATTGTCAAAGCAATATGTGCTGACTCTTTTCTGGGTTTTCTTATACTCAAGGTACGATTTACATTCTGGAATTCATGATTCAATTGGAAATCACGATGACATATCAACATGCGTTGGATATTCGGACGAAACCAGTAAGCTCTTACCTACCATTCCGCTCTCATTGACATTAAATTCTGATTTACCTTCTAAATACAGATTTTGAACTTTACATAAGTCATAGTTTGTCTTTTCCAATTTTCAATGGATATTAGGAAAAGCTTAAGACCAACTGTTTAATCGGAAATATATGTAGCACGGATGAGTATTATTTTTTCTGTTACAATTAAATTAAGGATTTTATGCATAATGTTTCATAAAGTTGGGAATTGCTAACTGCGGTATATGATCATTATGGCATGGGTCCTGGAAACGATTGAACTTATAGACTTAGTGGACTTACGATAGGCTGATAATGCTATCTTCTTCTTTATCGTGATGTTCTCTGTTATGATTTTGTGACTGAACATATTGTTAACAAATTTTATCCTTAATTGTTGTAGGCCAGGTAATTACTGCTGGTTTGGACAGGAAGATATTGTCTTGGGACACGCGTACAGAGAAGGGTTTTGTGTTTGCAAGTAATCTCGATTCGGAGGTGATGTCCATGTCACTCTCAGGTCTTGGTATGATGGTAGCCATTGGATCATCAATATACGTGTATGATTTGCGAAACCTAGAAAAGCCAATTCAATCAAAAGATTCACATATGGACGTCCAGATTTTATGTGTTAGCTCAATTCCATATGCTAAAGGTATTACCAGTACTACTATACTGCACGTAGCTGTGTATATTGTAAACCGTGTTCCAGCAATAGTTACTAATACCTGAATTGGTCAATTTATATGGACTCTAGGTCTTCTTGTTGATTTTGTATTGCAATCACAACCTGTATCTTATAGAAATTTTGAATTGTCTTTGCAGGATTTGCAGTTGGCTCGATAGATGGACGTAGTAGCATTGGAGATTTCCTGTCCGTCTAGTTCAGATGACATCAGGTCAATTCCTGGAGTCTATGTTCTTATATGATTGACATATCCAAGCCTGGCATGCTACATAATCTGCCTCGCTTAATTACAAACTGTCATTTGTTATGTTCTATGTTGTTCATGTTCGGAAGGAAGAAAAAAATTATAATGTTACTTGTTGTAATGCCTTTTGGTGCTTGAGCCACATTTGCTTCTATGAGTTCTATCATAGTACTCTTAACATTTGTTCAGATATATGTTCCGGTGTCATCCAAAGTCAACTGATAAGAGATATCACCTAGCATCGGTGAATGACATTGTATTCAATCCGCTGTATGTGCAACTCTAATACTCTATCAGCTTTGACCAAACTCAATTATGAAAACTTACTTTCGATTTAATGTTTCTGATCTAGCATCTATGGCGCCTTTGTTACCGGTGACAATGATGGTTATATTACTGCATGGGATGCTAAAAGCAAAAAGAGACTATTTCAGGTATTATGATTTTGCTTCTTCTGCTTTCAAAGTGAATGTATTTAACTTTTATTGCTTGACCTAGTTGATTTTATTATTAATTTATGTTTGGTTATTACTAATCTTCATTAATTCTCTAACCTTACAGTATTTTCAGTTGCCTAGATACCCAAATAGTGTGGCATCCTTATCGTACAACCACAGGGGACAACTTCTGGCTGTTGCATCAAGCTACACATATCAAGAAGCTAATGAAATGTGAGTATGTTTCTACTATGATTTACTACTTCTCTGTCCTTGTATGCTCAGTATTATGTATCTTTCTTTTTCGCTTCCATTTGTTAGAGAAGAGCTTCCTCTGGTATTCATTCATGAAGTTGGCAATGACAACATGAGATCTGTACCTGTTGGAAGTTCGAGCAGAAACTAATTGTACACATTAAGATGAAGGTAATGAACTTTAACCTTGGGTCAGATACTTATATTTAAACTAGGATAGGCCGTAATCATCTGTGATGTCTCAGACTTTGGAACCAAAAGCCTTTGGACTGCTAAATGTAATCAAATTCTGTTTAATTTTCAGGATCATGTGTAAAGTTATGATGTTTGGGGTACTTGTATATTAAGCTTTGTCCCTTTTGAACCTGATGCAATGATGTACCCGCCGAAATTATTTTTGATTTGCAGATTACAGCAGTCAGCTGCAAAGTTAGAATTCTAGGAATTACGCCTGTTGTAGAATGTCGTTGTGGTTAACTTATGTACCGTTCCTCTAAAGTCTAGACAGATACCACTTTCATGGGTTTTATTTAGTTTTACTTATCGGATCCATGAATTTCCAAATGGAAAAGCATGAACCATTGGCATTTGTAAAACATATGTGTTTGTTGAATCCTTTTGCACATCAGCCTGCAAATTATGAAACCAGTTGCTGTCTTGGTGTATCTGTTTTGTGTAAGTTTTGCTCCTTAAACTAATTCCCTTAAAAAATTACATCCATTGTGATCATATGTGCCATTGATGCCATAGATACTGTATCAATATTAAACGTACATTCATAACATGTTGGTATTACAACAATAACAACACATATTACTAAAAGCATAATGGCAGTTAATGGACGTTTGTTCAATAGCTGATTAAAACGTAAAGTACCAATGAACCTAATTGTGTTCAGTCCATATTAAAGCTCAAAAGAAGAAGATAAAAAGAAAATAAATTAAAGAAAACAAAACTGGAAAGACAATGTGTGTACAAGTGCAAAACAAAATATCCGAGTATGAAAAAAGCAGCACACGTGGCTTGTCTTTTTCACATTTCCTACCAAAATATAAATATCGTCTATTTTTAACTTTCTCTCAAAGATAACAGAACCCTAACATTCATGTATAGCGTCCATCATACTTGTATCACAATTTTTTGTGACAAAAATTTAGGCACTAATGACCTTTATGGTTAACATGTTAGTCTCGATGACCAACATATCATGAATCAACTGATTCTTAAATATGTAATGGATGTTTAGTTTTCTCCTATACCTCAAACTTTTAGAGTTCATTGTTTACAGTCATCTGTCAAAATATAAATAAGCAATGAGCCCAATCAACTAATTATTATGCAGTTACATAATGTTTATTATCACACAAATGTGATGCTGGAAATATAAATATATGTTGCGTGATATATCACCAAAATTTTCTTGTGAAATTCAGGCTCTGATAAATACCAAATATATGTGTTATTTGTTTTGAGGTATTAGTGGCTTCAAAAAAACCGTACATTTTTTTTTTGTCAAACATGAGAACCAGGCTTTCAAACTACACATACAGTTGCCAGTTTTTAATCACAAATAGAGCTAATGTCTAATCAGAGAATAAGTCATATATAAATCTAGATTTAGTGCGTTTAGTGTATCCATCTAGTTTTAGTGTCGATTAAAAGTTTTTAACCGGAACACGTTCTATTTGTGTACATTTATGGTGGAAAAAAAAAATACACCATGTAAAGTTAATTATAAGAGTAAATATCAATTTACTATTGTATGTTTCGTGGTTTTCAACATTTAGTATATCAAGTTTTTTTTCGTTTCAGAATCATACCTAAAGTGTTAATTGGACAGTCTCATTAAGTATGCCATTAACTGATCATATGACGTCTATGTGAATAATAACTGAGCGTTGCGTGTCATTAAGGTTTACGTGGATTTTTTTTTTTTGGAGAAGGAGTTAAAAAAAATTCAAAAAAAAAAAATGCGCCCCATCTTCTCCCTCCCTCATCGCGCTTCACCCTCTCCCTCCCTTCTCTCTTCTGCAACCCACACCCCTTCCCTCCCTTCTCTCCTCCTTACTCCCTTATCCCTCAATTCTCTCCTCTGCACCAACCCACCAAACCCTAGTTTTATAAAATTTCATCAAATCTGTCGGCTGATTAACAAAATACAGGCATATGTCAGTTCGCAAGCAGAATAATCCCAAAACTTTCATCGACCAGTCAGTGATTCTTTACAGTACACAGCTTCTATTTTTCATGTTGTTCCATTGCTGCAGAACAAGCTTTTGGTTGTAGTTGTTGGGTTCTGAAAGGTTGCAACGCATACACGAGTTTCGTGAACTTGGATCTGGGTTTGCCCTTTGATTGGTGGCCTGAACCGGGTGTGGGACGCATGCGGATTGTGAAGGGAAGTCCGCTTGTAGGTCCGACCTGGCTGTCGGGGTGTTGGTAATTGAGGAGCAGGTAGACATTGAAGACGAAGACGATGATGCAGAGAATAATGGCGACGATGACAAGTGCGAGGTTGAAATCACCCATCGCGACGGCGTCGTTTTAGCTGCTCTCGAATCAAATCGAATAGGAGAGACTGAGAAGGGGAATCAGAAATTAGGGTTAGGGATGTGAAATTGCACGTTCAAGTGGTCACAGATCTCTGTCGCTGGTCCGAAAATGAGCAGAGCCGTTAAGGAAAGAGAAAGTGAAAGGGTTGAGGGCTCGGTTCCAGTGAGGTGGTGAGAGGAAGGCGACGGGGGCGGCGTAGTATGGGTTGAGGTGGGTAAGGTTGATTTGGGAAGAGAAAAGGGAAGGGTTACGGGGGGATGAGGGAGGGAGGGAGAAGACGAGGCTTTTTTTTTGAATTTTTTTTAACTTCTTCTCCAAAAAAAAAAAAAATTCGCATGGATCCCCTAATGATACGTGGCACTCAGTTATTGTCTAAATATGCGCCACGTCATTAGTTAATGGCAGATTTAACATTAACACTTTATGTATGACTCTCGGACGAAAAAAACTTGATGTACTAAATGTTGAAAACCACGAAATATGAAGGTAGTAAACTGATATTTACCTTAATTATAATTATGCTATGTAACTTTATAAACTTGCTGAAGAACTGAAACTTATACGAGGTGATGAATGTTGGAAAATATTAGTATTTAGGTTTATTTTAGTATTTGGGTTTTGCTTGTTAGTTTAGGATTTGAGCCTAACTCGACTGAGTTAGGGTTTCTTAGGTTTAGTTCTCTATAAATATTGCTTGTAGTTTAGTTTGAGAAACAAGTTAGTTACAATATAACCTCTTGGGGATTTGTAGTCAGTTCCGGCATTCTTTTTGGTTAATAATATTCTTATTATTTTATAGTATTGTTTGTTCCGCACTCTGATATTAACTATGAATTGTTAACTTGTGAGTCTCGACAGATCCACTTTCATGGGTTTTGGTTACTTTCCACTAATTGAATCCTTAAGTTTCAGATGAAAAATCATGAAGCATAGTAGTTTATATTGATATGTAAACCTTGCTGTCACCACTGATGACATTGACATTTATAAAAGATGTGTGTTTGTTGGATCCTTTTGCACATTAGCCTGCAAATTTATGAAACCATTTGCAGTGTTCTCGTTATGCGTAAGTTTTTTTTTTTTTTTTTTTTTTGAGTTGATTGCCTTTAAAATTTACTTACTTTTGTTACTGTATCAATATTATAAACATATGTTCATAACATATTGGTACATCTTGTTGGGAATAACAACATCGATATACTACTAATAGCATAATGCCAATTAATGGACGCTTTGGGAGTAGAATTATCTCTCTTCTTATTTTCATCATCTTTCCTCTCTCTCTTCTTTAGGAGTAGAATTCTCTCCTTCTTATTTTCATTCCCTTCCCTCCCCTCATCTCACACTTTGCGTTTTGTCTTATTATCTCTATAAAAATATTAATATAAAATATTGACGTAACTTAATTGTAATCGTTCAAACAAAAATTGAACAAGACGAGAGAGAATCATCTTCCTTAACCAATGGGCCTAATTGTGTCCGGCCCATGTTAAAATCATCAAAAAATAAAAAAAATAAAATGGAAAGACAATGTGCATTCAGATGCAAAACAAAATATCCGAGTGCACATGCTGCACATCCAACGGTGGGCAGTGACCCTCACCCAAAAAATAAAATATAAAAAGTATTTAAATTCAGAAACCCTAAAGTATTAGTCTTCTTCTCATAAGTACCCTCTCTCCCAAATCTCCCGTCCTCCGCGTATCCTCTCTCTGGTCTCTCTAGCTTCCTCTCTCTCCTCTCTCAGAGTGATCAGAACCAGCCATGTCGGACGAGGAGCACCACTTCGAATCCAAGGCCGACGCCGGAGCTTCCAAGACCTACCCTCAACAGGCCGGCACTATCCGCAAGAACGGTTACATTGTCATCAAAGCCAGGCCATGCAAGGTTCGATCTCTCTCCTTTCTCCCTAATTTTCTTCCGATCTGCATGTATTTTAGGGCTTTGATTTCAGATCTTCGCGCGATTTCATTCGATCGTTGATATTTGTTTGCATGCCGTATGGATTTGTTGATGAATTATCTCGCCTGTTTAAGATTATGATCGGTACAGTTTTATTGAGATCGGAATTGATTTTAATCAGGTTTAATTACGATTTTATTGTTTTTCCGATTTTGTTTCTTCTGACTATTTAGATAGGTGTTGAGGTGATTAATTATGTATGAAATTATTTGATTTTGACTGCTAATGTTACTGATTGCTGTTCTCTACCTGTAACTGATAGTAATTATGGACGGATGGTTTTGATCTGAACACTTTCAAGTTTAATTTGTATACAGAATCCTGTTATCTTAACGGGGAATGCCGTTACTTATATGTGTGTATTTGCGCGCATACACACACAGCTGTTATCGCGAAACTTGTTCGAGGCTGAGCTCGTATTGCATCTTCCATGTCTGAATAATATTTGAATTTGTTTTCTTTTTCGATTTTTGTTTTTGTTTTGTCGCTGTCCATTGTGAGGGAGTGAATATATGTGCTGAATTGATTGTTTAATGTCTTCTCGTGATGTTATTATATCAGCTTGGATTTATATTGGTGGCTGTGATATGAACGTGAAAGACAACTAACTAATGGAATGTTGTCACAGGTTGTGGAAGTTTCCACCTCCAAGACTGGAAAGCACGGTCATGCTAAGTGCCACTTTGTCGGTATCGACATCTTCACTGCCAAGAAGCTTGAGGATATTGTTCCATCTTCCCACAATTGTGATGTATGAACCTCAAGTTTGTTTGGTTTATATTTAAGCATGTCTTTTATTTTCTTCCGTTGGGATATTAATGTTTGTACCTTTGTATTGCAGGTTCCACATGTCAACCGTACTGACTACCAGCTGATCGATATCTCTGAGGATGGATTTGTAAGATTGCAACTTCGTTTGTTGTTATAAAATTCATTGATTTTATTGTTTGTTGCTTGTTACTTGGATGTTCCCACGAGTTTACAATGCTTTGCCTGGCTTGAACCTTAATCTGTTGCTTACTGAAGGTGAGTCTGCTGACTGAGAATGGTAACACCAAGGATGACCTGAGGCTTCCAACCGATGACAGTCTGCTTACGCAGGTTAGTTTTGTAACATGGCCCCTGTAACATTCGTCTCTTCCACTTAGTTAGTTTGAATGGGATAGTGTGCTTGTACATGTCTGTTAGGGCTTCAATTGTCTTGGGGTTGTCTATGCTACTAGTTCGTCTTTATTCCTGAAAGGCTGTAGAATCCATGTGTGCTCGAGGATTAACTTTTACTGTTCGACACATTTTAAAACTTTTTCCTTTGCTTAACTACTTTTATAACTATGTTTCCCGCTGGTTATCCTTGTAGAGTCTTAAATGGTTTTTGGTATCTTATGCAGATCAAGGATGGGTTTGCAGAGGGGAAGGATCTGGTTGTTTCTGTCATGTCTGCTATGGGAGAGGAGCAGATTTGCGCCCTCAAGGACATTGGTCCGAAATAGATGCACTTTGTTCTTCGGGAACGCTAGTTTTCAGATTCAAAATGGAACGGTTAACAGTATCTTTCGGGTCATCCCTTTCAGGAACTGCTGTTCTTGATTAGAGGTGGCCTTGGGTTATAAGTTGATGTTGCCATTAATTAGCGTGTCGTTATCAATATTTTTGTTCTGTTACTGTTCTGAACCAATCCCCCAATTTCATGGTATGGGCTTGAGTTATATTGAAGACTGTATAGTACCTTCACTTGTTCTTGACTTCAAAGTTTCCATGGTCCTGGTTTTTTTGTCACTTGACGGATTCTTCGTGTTGCATTGTGTTTGCCTGGTATTTCTGTGTTAAATTTCTCTCTTGCCAACTTGTACTGTGATTGTGGTTTTGCGCAAAGTTACCTACCCTGCGGTTGTGCAGTTTTGCTTTCCTTTGGTAACAAGATGGTCTGTTTGGTGTTTTGGAGCTCGTTTGGAATTGCTTCTCTGAAGTGCTTCTATGAATACAACACTACTTTTTGTGTCAAACTGAAACTAAGCGAAGAGAGATTCTTTAAAATTCATGAATCTCGTGGTTGCCCGGTACCGGCAAGTTTACCTATCCAACCTATTAGAAGAAGCCATAACTGGTCAATCTCCCTCTCTAATAAACGACCGGAGTATCGTTGGGTGTCGCAGCTCTGATATTGCATTAAGTCTCTGTCTTACTCCAAATGCCGGCATCTTGCGTGGGTCTCCAAATAATGTTTAACACCGCGATTGTTGCTGCCTTCACAGTTCACTATGTACACATTGATTCCGAGTTTTGCAATCGCGGCAGCTTCCGATATCTTGGTGATCATTCCCCCTGTTGTATCATGGGCTGCTGCTGCTGTCTCGACGGTTGACATGACAACCATGAAGGATCAACGAAATAGACGAAAGCAAACTTAAAGCAAAGTCGATAGATGTGAGAGAGATTCAATGAACACAAATGATTAACCTTGACAAGGGGTCGGTAGTACCAACCCACCTTTATTAATACAAACGTGTTCATGTATATGAGTCGGATATTATCAGAGACAAAGTAACATGGCATTGTCGTGGAGCTACCAAAAATTTACTTGCTTGGCTCCTCGTCGAAAGTAGCCATTATTCGTTTTTGCAAATCAAATTTGACACATATACAACATAAATAACCTACGAAAATAAGAAAAAAGTAAAAGAAATGTGCATATCAAACTGTAATGTTTAAACGTAAAACGTGCATATTATTGACATTCAATTTTGTGTTGATGCCCATTTGACCAAATACAAATAGCAACAAATCTCCGACAATCATTTTACAACTATTTTTTAGTCATTAAACCGTGCAAGAGATGTTTGGCATGACTAAGAATGTGCTTCTCACATCTAATTAAACGAAATTCAACCGAACATGATTAGTTAATGAAAAATAGCATTTTATATAATTCATTGAAATGGGTATATTGACCAAAAAAATTAGACCGGGCCCTCTATCTAGGAAAGGGATCTTCTCCAGATTCCTTCCTCCTGATTTACCTAATCAGGAGATCTGTGTCGTTGAAATTTGATTCAACGGTTGAAGTTATTATAATTTTTAAAGTGGGCCCTTGTTTGTAGCCATTAGATCAAGTTTCAACGGCATGAATTCCTTGATTTGGTGGATTAGGAGGAAGGAATCTGGAGATGATCCCCTGCCCTCTATCTAAACGGTCCCCTTTTTTTTTTTAATGAAAATGACTTGAAAACTTTGAGTTTTAACCAAAATGAAGGTGTTGTAAGTTAATAATACCATGAGTGACTTTTTAGAGTAAAAATGTCCTTAACTTTAAAAGTTAACAGTATTATGAGTGTTTTGTTAAGACTCATTTATATATATATATATATATATATACACACACACACACATATATAGGAGTGAGATTAGTCGTGGGGCTCACTTTACATTGAACATTAACGATTTGAACTTTTTATTTTTCAAGTTGCACATCATAGGTCATCCTTGCAAAATATTAGCTAAATCGAAAATGTTTGAGGTATCTAATTGAGTTAAAGAAAGTTGACAAACACTATGTTCTAAAAAACATTGAAATTTCATCATGATAATCAAATGTGTAAATATTTTCAGATTTAATTGATTTTTGCAAGAATATCTATGAAATGCAACTTAAAAAATAGACGATTCAGATCGTTGAAATTTAATGTGAAATAAGCCCCACAACTAGTCCTCATTTCTTTAAAATAATGGCGATCCCCTTGAATAAATGCTTTGAACTACGTGTCACAATGCAGAAAGAATTTGGTGAGCTAGTAAGGTCTACTAAGTTTTAAACTAGTGGTTAATACCAACTCTAATTAGGTTTGTGCAAATGAACAATATCATGTTGTATTAAAAAATATATATTATGATTTAAAGAAATAGATCAACATAAATCACATAATATTGTAGTCCCACTCCAAAATCAACTGTGAATACACGAAGCAATTTAACTCTAAACATTTGTACAGAAGTGACCTTTTATCACAGTGGTGAAAAAGAATTCAGCCCTTACATATCCCACATTATTTATGGCTTGTGTAACATCCCACATTATCCAAGGGAGTGGAACCTGTAAGTTTTATGTGTATATTCTCAAGCCTTTTGGGAGCTCACTGGCTTCAAGTTCCATCGAAACTCCGAAGTTAAGCGAGTTTGGACGAGAGCATTCCCTAGATAGGTGACCCACTGAGAAGTTCTTGTGTAAGTTCCTAAAAACAAAACCGTGAGGGTGTGGTAGGGATCCAAAGCGGACAATATCGTGCTACGGTAGAGTCGAACCCGAGATGTGGTGAGGGTCTGGGCGGGAATGTGACAGCTTGTCTCATGTAACAGACACGTATAATAACACGTTGAGCTACTTATACGGAGGGGTTCTTTATTTGGACAATAACTCCTGGCACAATATGTGTGGACACCAACTAACTCATCTCCTTGTAGGAGTAATATTCATACGTATTAATATATTATCCACTAATATATAAATAAAAATAGAAGGCACGTTGTCCGCAAATTCATGAATTAATGTATTTATCTACCATATTTGTTGGATTTGTAAATAGTAGTTGTTGGAAAGGGATTCTCTCGGATCATTTCTACCAAATTCATCCAATCATTCAATTTGGATATTTGAAATTTGATCCAACAGTTAAAAATAGGAAGTCCCTTTAAAAGTTATAATAACTTTAACTCAAATTTCAAAGGTCCAAAATAGATGATTGGATGAATTTGATGGAAGGAATCCGAAGATGATCTATTTTCGTAGTTGTTAACTCCTTCTTTCCAATAATTTAACAAAATACTATAATACTAATTTACTAATAGCTCGTTATAAAAATGTACATATAACATTATATTATTAATCGTGTTACGGAGGAGTTCGAAGATGGAGGGGGTGAAGACAGACAAATAATTTTGAAAATGGTCAAGTTGTAACATGTTACATGTATTTATGTGCAGTTTGTGAGTGCGACTGTCCGTCCCGTGAGACAACATGTGACAGCTCTCTTTTCCATGCTTTAATTATATATGCCAACCGCCAACACGTTTCCAACGCATTTGCTTTGTTTGGTGTATATATTTGGCTCTAACCATATTTTGCTTCTCAAAGAATCTACAAATAAATCTTTTCATATTGTGTATTTGTCTTTTTATAAATACAACTTATAAGTTATATCGATCATTCATGTTAGAGCATCTCCAAGATGCCAAGTGTTTTAGTCCGAAGATGTAAATAAAAAATGTAAATTTATTTATTTGTTTTTTGTTAATGAGAAATCAAAGAGAATTACATTTATATCTCTGAAAATGCAAATTGAGATTACCGTTCGAATTTGAATTTTTTATTTTTTAGACGAAATTTTTTTTTCTATAAATACCTAAGTCATTCCTACACCATTTCTCACATTCTTTTCACCATTTGGTATTATCGTACCTCATTTTATTTCAATTTTTCACATTCTATCTGAAAAATTATTGAGATTATATAAAAATAAGAAATCCGGAGGCTTATTTATTTAGCGACAAGTGGCACTCAAAATATGTCCAAAAATCTTATTTTAATATGATAATTTAATTTAGTTAACCATATTAATTTAATAAAATAATAAATTATTGAGGGGCTAAAAAATAGCCCCCTTTAGTTGGAGATGAGTTTTTTGTCGAACGACTATATTTTGGCCTATGACTCTTTGCCCCCTAGGTTGGAGATTATATAAAATATGGTATTGGGCTGAGCAACAGAATATGCAATGTATTATTCTAGAGGGTGATGCCTTGCAGGTTGTTCAGGGCATTGGGAGACTGAAGCAAGGGTCCTCTTCTTTGGATTTATTGTTGGATGATGTCCGGGAGTGTCTAAGAGGTTTTGGGTCCTCCAAAATTTGTCATGCTAGTCGTTCCGCTAATAGTGCAGCTCATAGAATGGCCAAGTTGGCCTTAGATTTTTTATCTACCTTTCATTGGTTTGAGGAACCTCCGGAATTAATCCAGGATATTCTCTTAGATGATTGTATGTCGATTTCCTAATAAAATAAGATCGCTATCGTTTCAAGTCAAAAAAAAAAAAAATATATATATATATATATATATCTTTTAGAATTATAAGGCTAAACATAGTCCTTTTACCCTCTTTTGGTAGGAGATTACCTAAGCAGTCCAGAGATATCATAGTACAATCCATAATCCAGATATCTAGGGAAACGACTCTACTTCTTCCCCTTCACTACCCCTCTATTTTCACACTTGGAAGATGGAAATTTCGTAGTTCCTAAAAGTCTCAGGGCCATCACCGTCATTTCAAGCATAGGCTTAGTAGTTAGCAACTTTAGCCTCACCGGCCCACCAACACCAAACAACCCAAAAGCTCATAAATAAAATAGAATGAACCATGATTTGATTTCCTGAATTATCGTCGTAGTTGAAATTCGCTCTTAAATTATTTTTTGATAAGTTATGAACCTAAAATATTTAAAAAATAGCCAAATTTTCCCTAGTCATTTAGTTCATCCAGTTTTCCATTAAGTCACCAATAGTGACCAATAAAAATATGCCACTTTTATTGGTCATTAATCGTGACTTAACGGAAAACTGGATTGAACTTAACGATAAGAAAGAATTGGGCACTTTTAAAATGTTTAGGTCCTGATCAAGGATAATAAATAAAATTAAAACAAGATAAAATCATATATTGAAACGACTAGTTTGGAGCTGGCCGGTAATGGACCTACTTACATGTTGACTAGCTGTGGAGCTAACCCTTGCTCTATTGGTTTGGTGGTTGCTACCAGAGGAATAAGTCTCGTTCGATAAGTTCAATTCTTTCAATATGTTATCTTTGCTTAGTCTTAAAGACACTTCCTCGCCCCAGCATGTTAAGACCAGAGCATGCCTAGGGAGCGGGTTTTAATTTACCAAAAAATAGTTCGATGGTTCAATTTCAATTGAGGTATTAATTCAAAAGTCAAACGATAGTTTATCTAATAAATGAAATCTATCCAAAAATAATAATAATAAATAAAAAATACTATGTAGACTATCTTTTAAAATCATATTTTGTATCATTCGGTTGATGTTTGAATTCATTTTTTATGACTTAAAGTAAAAATGCAATCATCAACCACTATATAATATGATTTACAAAATATGATCGAATAAATAATCTCGTTAGCGTCACCGATTATAAATGAATACCCAAAAATTAAATAAAACCAATTTTTATTTTAAAGGAAAATCAGGAAAGGACTTTCAGGTATGTGCGGCGTGGACTTTTTGCAGAATTTCAGATCCCCTAATCCGAAAAATACAAAAACAAAACAGAAGGACACAAACTTCCCGCAGAAAGAAAGAAAAAGAAAACGAGAGTTTAAAGTTGAAACATTTTCTTGCTTTTTTTATCCCCTTTGTTTTCGGATTTTGATCCAATGACCGACAACCAAGAGCAGCCGCCGGGCCCCCCGCCGCCAGGATCATCGCAACCGTCGAAGCCCGCAGCGACGCATGATCCTCCGCGCCCCACTATTACTCTCCCGTCGCGCACCTCTTTCGAATCAATCTTCAGCTCCGGCACCGGCGGGAATACTGGCCCGGGTCTGGGCCTGGGCTTCAGCCCCGGGCCCATGACTCTCGTCTCCAACTTCTTCTCCGACGGTGACGACTGCAAGTCCTTCTCCCAGCTGCTCGCCGGAGCCATGACGTCTCCATCCCCGGGGGAGCCGGGGTTCCCGCAGCTAGAAAAGCGAAATTCCGGCGATAACGATGGCGGCTCGGAATTCCGGTTCAAGCAGAACAGACCGCCGCCGATGTTTTCGGTCCCGACGCCGTCCGGGTTTCTCGACTCGCCGGGTATCTTCTCACCCGGCCAGGTACTCCACTCGTCAATCACTTCTTCCATCTTCTGAATTACTGTTATGTTACCATTGGCTGTTTGCTTATTAGGGAGCTGGGATTTTTTGAAAAGTTTCCTTTTTTATCCGATTTAGATTAATATCTCGTCTTTAGTTACTCCGAAAACAAAGGCAGAGGATTTGAGTTTCTAAATTTAGTAACTTTTCCCTTTTTGCTTCTTATGGCTGTGATTTCTGAATCGTTGTAGGGACCCTTTGGGATGACACACCAGCAGGCGCTAGCACAGGTCACGGCTCAGGCTGCTGCACTCTCTCCATCGTTTTTCAATTTCTCAGCCGAGTTTTCAACGTCTTTCTCGACAGCACCCGCCACATCGTTGACGCACCCTCCATCCCTTACTTCCGAGACAATGCCACCCCAAGAGATACCGTCTGGAACACCCGACTCTGCCGTTGCCACAAAAGAATCATCTGACATTGCCCTTTCGGATCAGATATCCCAACCGTCTTCATTTGCTGTCGATAAGCCTAACGATGATGGTTACAATTGGCGGAAGTATGGGCAAAAGCAGGTCAAGGGTAGTGAGTTTCCTCGAAGTTATTACAAGTGCACGCATCCAAATTGTCCGGTAAAGAAGAAGGTTGAACGCTCGGTTGACGGACAAATAACTGAAATTATTTACAAGGGCGAGCATAACCATGAACGTCCTCAGTCCAAGCGTGGAAAGGATCCGAATGCAAATAGTCAGGCGAATTCCGACATGGCTTTGCAAGTTCATGGTGGGAATTCGAACAAATCAAAAGAAGGGACAGGTCCTTATTCAATGTCTAAGAAGCGTCAGGAATCCAGCCAAGCAACACATGATAATTTATCCGGGACAAGTGACAGTGAGGAAGTAGGAGGTGCTGAAACCAGAGTGGATGAGAAAGATGAAGATCAACCTGACACCAAGAGAAGGTAGATCTTTTATGTTGATAAGCATATGCCATGTTTGTCGGAAGTTAAGTTCCTTGTTTGTCATGTATTCTTAACAAAATTAACTTTTATTTTCCAGAAATACAGAGGTCAGGTCAGAACTGGCGCCAGCTTCTGCACATCGGACTGTGACAGAGCCTAGAATCATCGTGCAGACAACCAGTGAAGTCGACCTCTTAGACGATGGCTACAGGTGGCGAAAGTATGGGCAGAAAGTCGTTAAAGGCAATCCTTATCCACGGTAATACTGCTGAAACTACAAGCTATTGGACTCTAGGTTAATAGAATCATATCAGCAGATAATTAAGAATAGCATGTGGAACTTATCTTTATCGTTCTTTGTTTTGTTTCAGCAGCCGCAGGGGTAACATAATCGTATATGTTACTGAATATTAACAAATCTACCTCCGTATAAATTTAAATCCTGGAAGAATAATTTTGAAATATTGTTCTGTACTCTGAAAGCCGAACCTTCTAGTTTTATTCCATTGATGTTGCTCTGTTTTCAATTTTGTGTTGCCTAACGTATTCAATCAAAGGAGTAATTCCTTGTTGTATTTGCTAAATTTTACAGGAGCTATTACAAATGCACATTCCCTGCATGCAATGTCCGTAAGCACATAGAGAGAGCCTCTACAGATCCTAAAGCTGTCATAACGACATATGAGGGAAAACATAATCATGAAGTACCAGCTTCTAAAACAGGCAGCCACTACACAGGCAACAACAACGCATCAAATCTAAGATCAGTCAATCCAGGAACTGGGAAGATGGACAAGATCGATCTTAGAAACAAGGACCAGCAACCTGTAGCAAGTTTACGTTTAAAAGAAGAACAAATAACATAGTTTCTGTGAGTTTCAATCAGGAAAGCAAGCACGAGGAATCAGAGAATGTAAAGTTTCGACGAAGCAGGCAAAAGTTGTAAGTCTTATGTTTGCCCGAATCTGTCTTTCACTACAGGCCGTAGTTTTGATCAAGGCCCAGTTACCGAATTGCTAATGTACAAAGGAAAGAGGTAATTATGAAAAAGAATAAAGGATAAGGAAGAAGTCAGGTCAAATTTTTGTTGTACGTAAACTAGTTAACAAGCATACTCTGTTGAAATTTACAACTTCTGTTTATTCTTTTGTATATGGAAGCAGTGATGTTGTTTTATATGATTATTTACACTCGTGTTTGGTAATAATGTATCGATGTTTGCCTGAAACTCCAAGAAAATTACTTCCACTGTCGGGTTGCCTATTTCGATTGTGTACTTCTCCTTTTGTTCTTGCTTGGTACTCCTTTTGTTGCTGTGTCAGCACGCACCAATCTCTGCGCACATCTGACATTGTAGAACAAAACTTTGTGCTAATCATCGTTAGTCGATGGCATGTACAAGAAAAAGCGCTAATCAGGTTCTTACGGCCTATTATGTCCTCTTTCTTATAAGCTTTATCGCGGTGATTAGATACGGGTCACAGGTTTAATGGTTGAGGACGGATGGCAAATGCATGGTGTCAAGTGTTAACTATAAAGCATAAGAGTACAGATACTGATGACATTTTGTACAGGATCAATCGTAATGCATTTGCAGTTCATTTCTCTGTCTTCCTATTCTTGCACCATTGGATTAGGTCGAAGCGCGGTCGAAGCCCCCGAATGTTTACAAACATTTGCTTGGTGTTTTGGCCGGAATTATAGAAACCCTCCAGGATCCAGGTTCGGTGCCTGTCCGATTTAATCGTCCATAGTTACGAGAGTCGAAATTTGACCGTGGTTCACAAAATCAATCTTGTTCAAGCGTAGACAGCACAGGACTTGCTCTGGCAGTTCCTCTTGTTTTTGTGCCTGCCACCACCAACACCGTCAAACAAAACTCAAATTTACAGAAAAGCAGGATGCATATTTACTGTAACAGTGAATGGTAAGTTTGTGAGTTTACTTGGATTGTCAATCCCAAATCAAGTACCCCATTCTTCAAACGGTCTCTGAATGATTCAAGTCCTTTCCTGGATATGTAGCTAAACCTATGTATATCCAGGTCAATCTCAAAGTAATTAGGCCCCTGTCAAATAAATTACATAAAAACAGTTACGTTAGTTTAAAAACCTAGAAAAAATACTCTAGTAGGACAGCCTGACCATATGACCCGTCAGACACTCTCACAATTAGTGGGAAATTATACCCATGTAAGGGACCGTTCCTTTATGAGAGTGGCCTGACCAGCCGCATGGTCAGGCTGCCATATTGAAGTGTTTCTCGTAAAAACATCAAACTAGAGAGAATTTTTCGTAATCATCTTACCCTGAAGAAATTATGTTGGGGGCGTGAAAGCACCGGCTTATCGTTGTAAGCATGTATGAGCTTTCTTTCGGTAGAACTCAACTGGAGGTCATCTGGATTGACCAGTCCAGCCATGATCTTTAGCCTTTCCCTGAAAGGAACCAGAGACTCCTTTGCAAACCCCTTCACCTTCTCGGTCTCATCCTCAATGAATTTCTGCGACAGAAAAACAAAGCTTCGTTAATAAGTCTGTCTTCTTTGCACCCGGATCAGATATGTGGGAATTGAAATTTTCGCGACGAAACTTACTATGATGCTGTCTCGAAACTGAGATGAGATCTCTTTTTCGAAGTTTTCATTCACTTTGAAATATAGCACAAGACTCATGCCTTCCCCATCTGAATCGCCGAGGAACATTGTTGTAGGATAAGTAGGCAACTGCAACAACAAGAACACCAGAATCAATATCACCAAAAACACAACAAAAACTGATCCTTCAGCGAAGTATTTTGAGGTAGAGAGAGAGGGGACCTGTATGTTAACAATGAGGAGGGAAGGAACTTTGTCATGTGGTTTTACATAAGGAAGCTCAAGATGCTGAGCAATGTGATCTCTCTTTCGGGGACAGATGAACAAATCGACACCAATTGGTACGTACGAGCTGCAGTTTGCAGCAGGGTACTTCTGTTTATCCCTGCATGTCGGAAAAATTTTCATTTTTTAGACAGCCGAAATGAATGACGAAAACAAAACAAAATTGGCAACAGGAAAACAAGTAATGTACTTGAAATAATTCTCGCCACGGAGCTTGAATACTGAAGGCGGAACTGGAGACCAGGATCCCGGAGCTGACTTCTCTTCAGTTGAGCAAGGGATTCGAAGTCCTGCTCTTGGACGGAATAAGTACTTCTGATCGGACGCACCTGTTCATGCATTGTTACACGTTTAGTATGTAGAAGAGAGCATGTAGGCATACATAAAATGTTGCTTAGATTCTAACTTCACATTTTGATCACATTTAGATTTAGTACTCACTGTTCCCTTCGCTGTCGTCAACAGACTTCCTCTTATAAAGCATGATCACCGCCGGGTTCTTCTGACTCTTGTCGTTGAAACTCACTTGGGTTTTCTCGACAGAATGGCGTGCATTTCCATCGATTTTTAGATAGCTTTCGTAGAACCCTTCGTACTTACATCCATTATCTACGATGCATGATGCACTTTCATACTGCAGCAATTGAGCATTTGGGATGTTCCCTGCTAAAGGAAACCCATCTGGCACCCAAAAACAAAGAACTAGTTTCAGCCACCGAAAATTCGCAATTGCCACAAAAACAGAAAAGATTGAAATCAATTGGCGACATGAGTGCATTACCTCCATGCACACTGCAGAAATCATCTTCTGAATCAGATTCCAGAATGCTTAGTGAGTCAAACCATGCTTCCCCTGGGCCTTTCCCTACACAAAGTTTTAATCTTTATGGTCAGAAATTACTTAACACAGAAAAAATCGGGAAATAAGATAGAACTTTTCGCAAATCTTCGATCAAACACGTTAATTTTTCGCAAATCTTCGATCAAACACGTTAATTTTACCGTCCATTTAAAGTCCCTGTAGTGAAAAAGTTTGTATACGATATGACTGAAGATTTGTAAAAAGATTTTATTTATGTTTCCCATAAGTATTTGAGGTAAGATGGGTTCTGTTGGTTTTAACTTTTCATGATGTAAACTAAAAACCAAAGCACGTTTATCAAATGGGCCTTAAACATTTGAAACATACCGCCATTTGTATCAATCTGACTGTGGTTCCACTGAAGCTGAGTGAGATGATATGTTCCATTAGAAACCTCAGATCTCTTGCAGGTGGTTGCAGCACCTTTCTCAAAGTCAAGATGCACAAACTCACTCACAGACCGTCTTTTGGGCGCATCAGGGATGGCGACGGAAGCAACCTTCTTCGTCTTCTTCCCCTTACTCTGGCGCTTGCCGTGTCTGTGTACCTTTTTCTGATGAGGGTTGATAGTTTCATGTGGTTTTGAGACACAGACGCCCATGGCAGCAAGTTTTTTCAAGTAATGTAGAGGACTCTCCAGATGTACTTAACCTACAAGGCAAAAATAAAAGTCCGGTTTAGAAAACCACATGACTTTCGTTCGGTGCCTAGGATTGGATTGAATAGGATTATAATAAATAACTCAATATAATACAGAACATCATTAAAGAATACAGAACACTATTCTGCGTGACGGAAATTCTTCATGCATGACGTTCATTCTTATTATACAAATATTTTCGAATATGTGTAGATAATGTGAATTATCTAAAAACGGATGTTCTTTCCATAGCCGGACTATTACGCATGATTGTAAATTACGAGGAAATGAAAATAATTGCATGCACAGAGAGAGAGAGAGAGAGAGGAAACCAGTGAAGGGGTTAGGAATTAATATTCCGACATGAAACAAAAAAGAAGAGGAAAACCGTCGTTCCCTGGTGAGGAACTCGGCCTCCTTCCCTTTGGAACTTGCTCTGTTCTTCTCTCTGTTTTCGGCCACCTTAAAGTTTTTTGCTTTAATTTCCAAATGCAAAAACAGAGATTACAAGACAGAAAACACCCTGTCCTAACACAAGAGAGAGAAACAGAGGAAGGAAAGGAAGACAGGTTCCGTTGTACTCGGATCCTATTTTCCTTTTAAATCTCCTTCTTTCTCTGTCCCTCTCTGTTTCCTCTGCTTTCGTCCCCTCCTTTATCTTTTGTTTTTCTTTTTTCGGGTTGCCTTCTTTTTTTTTTCTTGTTTTATCTTAGTTGGCTTTCTAGTTGTTTTTAGGTTTTTTTCTTTCTTGGATTAAGTTTTCAATTGCAACAAGAGTGGTGATATCCACGCATTATTTTTTACTTTTCGCACACTCTTTTTAATTTCTGACTATTGGATCAAATGAATTAAACAAGATCAAATGATAAAAAGTAAAAAGGGTGTGTGAGAGGTAAAAATCAGTATGTGGATACCACCCTTTCAACAAAAGAAATGAATTTTACACACCATTTGTTTTTTGTTGTTTTCATTTTATTTTCTCAATTCAATCTAGCGGTCAAATATAAGTATCAAGTGTGTGTATGAAGGAAGATAGTCTTGAAATCAGTTCTCCTTAAAAGGGGGACAATTAGTGACGAACTACAATTATCCATCATTTTCAGGTTCAGAGGAGGCTAGTTGGGAATTGCACCCTACCCATAACCACAATCAAACAAATTCACAGCTTGTAAAGTATCGAACCCAAGACCTCTTTTTTTTTTTTTTTAATTGTAAAAACTGTTGTTCGTACTTTTTCTATTGAACCACTTTGTCGTAATCTTGAAATCAGTTCTCTTTCAATAACCATAAACTTGGTTAAAGTTAAAAGAAAGAAAAAATGAGAATTTCCCAATTTGTGACCTAAATATGTGTATATTCTAACTAATCATAGATTGAAGCATTTTGAATCAAAGTAAGTGACTGCAGGCAAGTATGCTTATGTGAGCAATAATATTGCAATTGAAATCTTGATTCGACCGTACTCCGAAGTTTTGTTATACCAATTACGAAAGAAAAATAGTGCCTGGATAGGGAGGTGGCGATTGGTAAAGGCAGACGCCAAGTTTTAATTTTTGTGCACGTCCGGATGCGAATCAGTCGGTTGAGACAAGTGACGAATGACCATTACTGTTGCTATATGAAAACAACTCTCCACCAACCTCTTATTCTTATTTCAAATTATTGATAACTCAACCCCCCCACTTCTTCAAAAATATGATAAATGTGATTGATTGGTAGCTAGCTACTACTTAGGACGGCTACAAGTGTTGTGTTGTTAGTCCGAGGCGGAGCCATGAAGGACTAAGATGGTCTTAGGTTCATTTTGATGTGTATATATTTTTTTGAAAAAATTAGTGTTATGTTTATGATTTTTAATGTTTTTCTTTAGGCTCACGATTCCAATTCGATGCTTTTCCTTTTATTTCTTTCACTGATTTTGATTTTTTTTTTTGGTCAAAAGATAGATTTTATTTATAATATACTCGAAATGTTTATATCCATAGCAAGAATGGCAGTAAACGAGGTAACCGTGTGAGCAGCTAGGTTGTACCCTGCAGCATAAACCCAATTTTGACATCTCCAATATGCTTCACCAAAGAATCAATATCAAACAGAAGACATTCCAAATCAACATCCACTTCAATCTCCTTGTTAATCATTTGCAATAGCACCTCGGCATCCGATTCAATCTACACCTTTGATTTGAGGTTGGTGGTTCCTATATGTGAAGTTTAGACAATTCGTTGTTTGAGAGCTTAAGGAAGAGGATGATGAGGACGATCTCATACCAGATCCAAATGACGGTGGTTAGTGGTTCAAGACATGACATTACTAATTTTTCTTAGATCAGTTGAGTATTTCAGACTAAGATTTTGTGACCCTCCTAGACTTCGCCACTGTTGTTGCTAATCTACGTGTAATATTGGTGAAAACAACGAGTCAATTTTGCGTAACGTCAAAATACTTGTGTATTGGAAGACATATGAGAAGTTTGTAACCACCCAAACTTGATTCAAAGTTAACTTTTAGATTCATGAACCTTGCTTAAGTGCCATAGTTTTTTCCAGCGTATTCCGGATTCAATGACGAAGGTGAGAACCTAAGACCGAATGTCCGCCTAGTAGCTCGGCAAAGCTCAGTTGCCTCTTTTCTACTCGAAAGTTCGGAGCCAACCATCATTAACTCTTTGGGACGTTTTCATGCAGGTGCCTTGTTTTACCCAAATTCACCCACTTTACTCAAAATTGTCCATCCTAAGTTTTCAGCTTCCTTCGTCAATCTCTCTAGTATCACCATTGATATGACCCGGCCACCGACAAGGAAACTTAGGCTAAAACACCACACGAAACTTTTATACTTCGCCCACCCAAAAAAAAAGAGTTATGAATTTGTCACTGCATGAAATTATTTGAATTTATGTAAGTTCATCTTACATTGTCAATTTCAAGTCTGGATAAAGAAAGAGGAGAGTTCGTCGAATCTTCACTAAATGAAATATGACTTTACTATTATTGTTGAAAGACGCTAAAATTTGTCGAACCCCTACCCAATATTTGAAGGGCAAGGATTGTCTGCCCTCCCGTGCCCTTCTATTTTGTGTGGTCACGGTTAAGCCACGTCAATATTTTATATTGTTTTTTTTTTATAGAGATAATAAAACAAAAATGAATAGTAATATAAAATGTTGACTTGGCTTAACTGTGACCACACAAACAAGAGGGCACATGAGAGCACCGAAAGTGGGAGGGCAGACAATCCTTGTCCATACTTGAATGCACGAATAGCGTGTTTCACTGTATCTATGGAAACATCAATGATTGCTAAACTTTTGTTAGAAAACTATAGTTTAACTATATATTAACTTAATAAGTGGGGCTTAATGGGATGCTTAAACAAGAAACCCATATTTTAAAATAATACATAATTAGTTGGCCTTGATTTGACTAGCTCAGACTAACCGTGTGCCGTGTGTAGAAATTCTGTGTGTAAGTTTGTTGTTCATTTGGTGGGTGTGATGGAGGATGAAAACAAATCCTAATCTAAATTAATTATTTTTAGAGAAATGTTAACGAAACATTTTATGGATTTTCTATTAACTCATGTTTATTTATACAATATTTTACAATATTGGCACAAAAATTAACGTTAAACTATAAGATGACAGAGAATTCATGAAGAATTGCATTTTGAAATAATATCTTTAAAATTATTTTTTTTTCTTTGGCTGAACCACTCACATATACCCTACTCTGGCAGTCTGGCTCCCGCATCAAAAAATCCCCGTGTGTAAGTGGTTGAGCCATAAAAATAATTAATTTAGACTAAGGTTTGTTTTCATGATCGATCACACCCACCAGATGAACAACAAACAAATTATAAACTAGACTGTTTTTTTTTTCAAAATTATTATTATTAAGAGAAGGAAGAAGGATTCAAAACTATTATAATAATTTATAAGAGGAGGAGTTTCGGACCTAGAACACATGTGTAAAAACCCAACACCTTAATCACTACAATATTGGACCACATGCAAATTATAAACCAGACTTTTTCTGTGTCCAATAAAGAACTCGACTTAATGTTTGATAAGCCCCAATTGAACAAAAATTAGGTAACATATAAAAAGATGGGAATGATTGATGCTCGATCAGTCCCTTTCAAACTTATTTCAAGTTCAACGTTCGGCTCACTTGCACGAAGTAGTTCTTGTAGTTTATTCGGATTTCACTTTCATTGTTGTAATTTTGTTCGTTGCACGTTCGTTCTTGTAATCTCGTTACATTAGCACTATTGGTCCAACTTTGATTTTTTTCAAACGAGAAGACTTGCATAAAAGTGAAGGAAAAAAAAATTAACTTAGTTTGCAGACTGGAATAAAATAAAAGGAAAACTAATGAAAATGATTTGAAAACTTTAAATTTTAACGATAAAGACAAAATAAAGGTATAGTATCAGAATTGACTTTTTAGTGTAAAAATGTGATTTTTTGTTAAAATTAACAGTATCGGAAGCTTTTAGTTAAAATTTTCTAAAATAAAACCGAAAAAACAACACTAAGAACTACATTAATGAAAGTGAAAGACAACTTTCTTTTGCCCACAAATGAAGGCTAAGCTCCTTGATGCATTTTTCTATTTCTACTACACCTACATGGCTACAAGTTCATGTCACCATGTGATTATTCTATATATATATATATATATATATATATATATATATATATATATATATTAAGAATTATTTAAGCAAATAATATCTTAGTTAGGTGCAAATCACACTCAAAAGACTAAGGAGGAGGACATAATATATAAATCAAACAACTACATCAAAATATAATCGGATGATTATTAATGACTTTGTGGAGTTCTAGATCCGAGAGATTTTTTAGTGTGCCGAAAATACGGTCTGGTACATCGACTGTAATAATACAATTTGTTGAAAACTTGAAGAAAAAAATCCAACCAATTGTACTATAGCCGTGTTTCCGGCGCACTGAACTTTTTCTCTCTAATGTCACCCAGTCCAAAGACTTCCTGCTTAATCATGTTTAATTAGATTAATCATAAATTACCTAGATTATTAATTTATTATTAAAAAGGAACCAAAAAAAAAAAAAAAAAACCAACAAAAGAGATACAAGATATATTTATATATACATATATATATAAATAATTTTTTTTCCAAAATCACCAACCCAATTATTATGTTGTGGTAGTGCACCTGCTTGGTTTGTTCCCTGCTGCCGAAACCCACACCCACTTTTAACAACACTTTCTTTTTTAGTATGTGCTTTACATAAATAGAGCTTCTTGAACCTGCCTAATGTATTGGGGACACATGTTTAAAGGCTGAGACTATATAAAATTAAGAGACACAACAACTTCATCGATGGCTGCAAAAGCATTAAAATTTCCATGTTCTTGAAATTTATATGATTTTGGATTATCCTATCCCACAACTACATTGATGACATGTTTACTAAAAAGGAACGAAAAGAGAGAAAATGGAATCGCACATAGCGGCTATGAAATGGTGATTGCTCCATTTCCATTCTGGGCTATTATTGATAGGGATTTTACCGATACTGAAGGTAGCTACCAAGCCACCCACTTGAGAGGCCAGTCGTTAGAAAAGAAGCGACGAGGAAGCGAAGCTGTCTACAAAGGTTTGCTTCCTCCCTCCATTGTACTCGTAGTACTCGGCTCGTCACCATTTTGAGTCAAAATGTAATTGGCTTTGCCTTATAACCTAAAATTAGGAATTAAACTCGTTAAGTTTACGAGATTAGATTCTTGATAAGAGGTAGTATTTGGATTCTTGAAATTGAAAGATGATTTGAGCTTTCAGCCCAGCCCAGACCGGCTAAATAATTGCTCTTGGATTCTGATGGGCTCAGATCAGCCCAAAGTCACATTGTAAGATGGTAAGAAATATGGGCCCAGGTAATAGGGCTGAATTTTCTTATTGGTGCGAGTTTTGGACCACATTTGTGAGCCCAAGTGGGGTATATAGGTGTGGGACAAGATAGGATATAGAAAAGTGGGGACAATAGGTTAGCTAGGCCTAGGCATGATTAAATGCACCACAATGTTTGTCTAAAGTAATAATTGTAATATTTTGTCAAAAGCCAAAGGGACCAACACCCACCCGACACTTGCCCTTCTTTAATTTCCCATCGAGTAAAGAGTGAAGAATGACCCTCAGCTTTTAATTC